TTGGTTAGGGAAATATCTATGAGAGCAGGGATGAGTTCTTGTCTGACTGTTTTCTCTTTTAGCGCAGATTTCCCCTTGTCTACACGCAAGTTGTTGTCTTCCCGCCAAAACAAGGCTCCCTATATTGGATCCTAAAAGACCTGGAAATTGTCCAAATTAGGAATTTGTGGTTTCATCTGAAAGTTCACATAAACCTCTATCCATTGATGTAAGTTTCATATCCATATTGTCTTTGGTTAGGGAAATACCCATGAAAGCAGGGATGAGTTCTTGTCTGACTGTTTTCTCTTTTAGCGCACATTTCCCCTTGTCTACACGTCCGCTGTCGTCTTCCCGCCGAAACAAGGCTCCATATATAGGATCCTAAAAGACCTGGAAATTGTCCAAATTTGGAACTTTTGGTTTCATCTGATAGCTCACATAATCCTCTATCCCTAAATATAAGTTTCATATCCATATTGTCTTTGGTAAGGGAAATACCCATGAAAGCAGGAATGAGTTCTTGTCTGACTGTTTTCTCTTTTAATGCAGATTCCCCGTTGTCTACATGCCAGCTGTCGCCTTCCCGCCGAAACAAAGCTCCATATATTGGATCCTAAAAGACCTGAAAATTGTCATATTTTAGAGGTTTTGATTTCATCTGAAAGCTTACATTATTCTCTATCCATTGATGTAAGTTTCATATCCATATTGTCTTTGGTTAGGGATTTATCCATGAAAGCAGGGATGAGTTCTTGTCTGACTGTTTTCTCTTTTAGCGCAAATTCCCCTTGTCTACACGCCAGCGGTCGTCTTCCCACCGAAACAAGGCTCCATACATTGGATCACAAAAGACCTGAAAATTGTCCAAATCTGGAATTTGTGGTTCCATCTGAAAGTTCACATAATCCTCTCTCCAGTTTTGTAAGTTTAAGTTTCATATCCATATTGTCTTTGGTTAGGGAAATATCTATGAAAGGAGGGATGAGTTCTTGTTTGACTGTTTACTATTTTAATGCAGATTTCCCGGTGTCCACACGCCAGAGGTCGTCTCCCCGCCGAAACAAGGCTCCATATATTGGATCATAAAAGACCTGAAAATTGGTCATATCTGGAATTTGTGGTTTCATCTGAAAGTTCACATTATCTTCTGTCCATTGATTTAAATTTCATATCCAAAATGTCTTTTGTTAGGGAAATATCAATGAAAGCAGGGATGCGTTCTTGTCTGACTGTTTTCTCTTTTAGCGCAGATTTCCCTTGTCCACAAATCAGCGGTCGTCTTCCCGCCGAAACAAGGCTCCATATATTGGATCCTAAAAGACCTGAAAATTTTCCAATTTTGGAATTTTTGGTTTCATCTGAAAGCTCACATAATCTTCTGTTTATTGATGTAAGTTTCATATCCATATGAGCTTTGGTCAGGGAAATACCCGTGAAAGCAGGAATGAGTTCTTGTCTGACTGTTTTCTATTCTAGTGCTGATTTCTCCTTGTTCACACGCAAGCGGTCGTCTTCCCGCCCAAGCAAGGCTCCCTATATTCGTTTACAAAAGACCTGGAAATTGTCCAAATTTGGAATTTTTGGTTTCATCTGAAAGCTCACATAATCCTCTATCCCTAAATGTAAGTTTCATTTCCTTATTGTCTTTGATAAGGGAATTACCCATGAAAGCAGGGATGAGTTCTTGTCTGACTGTTTTCTCTTTTAATGCAGATTCCCCGTTGTCTACATGCCAGCTGTCGCCTTCCCGCCCAAACAAGGCTGTCTATATTAGATCACAAAAGACCTGAAAATTGTCCAAGTCTGGAATTTCTGGTTTCATCTGAAAGCTCATATGGTCCACTATTCATTGATGAATACCTTGAAAGAATTTAAGTATTGCTACCAGAGTGCTTTTTAGTTTAGTGCAGATTTTCCCTTGTTTGAGGCTCTGATTTTATGAAATTTTCTGTTATTTCCTGTGTTATAAATTTGAGCCGAGTACGTGTACCACTTCCAGTCGATCTAAGTGACCACAGAGGATGCACTGTCTCCAATCAGAGGCTGATTGATGGGGATATTACAAATATTTCTTTATTACATAATTATTAAGTGGTCTAAATTTGTGGTTTGATCCAGTAACTTTGGAGCGATTTCATTAGGCAATCAATATACATGCAATTGTTTGTATTTAATGTTATCACTACCTCAATCGCCATTAATCTAGGCTGTGGAATTATTATCCGAATGTACGTTACATATATATTATTTCAGATGGCATCCAGGGCTGCATGAGCCATTAGCCCTAGTGATTAAAGTGCCGTATTGTGATCTCAATTGCCCTACCGACTGCCCCAAGCAGACAGGCTCGAGGCAGGCTGTAGGCGAGCCAGAATACCGACTGACACCACCACTAAGAACCTAGCCAAGCGTGACATCGCTGGCACTTTCCCGGCTACCTACTCAGAGGTTCCGGCGCAAGGTTCAAGCCGACGGTTCGGGCAAGGGGACAGCCTTTGACGCGGAAAGCGTATTCTACTTGCGGTGGGCCCTACATACATGAGGTTTTTTTTCTCAATCTGATTGCAGGCTTAGTAAGGTTTTGATAATTAATAGGTGAAGGATTAAATAAACTAATTGATTGTAATTTTCTTTATTTCGTTACAACCAAAAAGTCATTGCATAAGCAATTTAAACTTCTTTCAGTTATACACCTTGCTTCGTGTTCCGAACGCGGACTATTTTAGACTTAATTCGGCCTTACGTGAAATGCTCCATTATTAACTTTAATTTGTAAATATTTGTAGTTACTAATAGATAATTCATTTTGTGTGTGTTTGTTGTACCGTGGTATTTAGTTGTAAGATATATGTTAATATAATAAATTTAATTAAATTTAGAAAAAAATATATATTTGAATCTTTTGTGTTGTCTGGGGGCAAACACTAACCCGCAATAAATTCTTGCTACAGTGATTTTGGGGGGTAGCTGTGACAGTTATGGCGTCTTATCGGATTAGTCTATAGAAATATCTGCGAAAGAAGACTGGAGATCTTGTTCAGCTCTTTGCTAGGTTTGTGCAATTTTCCCTTTGCCGACACACAAGCAGTCATCTTCAAGCGCAAAGATGGCTCCAGATATTGGAGATAAAAGACCAGCAAATCTTCCAAATCTGGCAATCCTGGTGGCATCTGAAAGGGTGAGAGTATCCCTCTATCCATTGATGTAAGTTTCATATCCATATCAATTTGTTTTATTCAGGAAAATATCTGCGACGGAAGCAATTAGTTTCTGTCTTACCCCCTGTGATTTTTGTGTAGTTCTTTGGTCCTGATCCTGCGCAAAGATGGCTGGATCTATAAAGGCATAAAGACCTGAAAATTGTCCATATCTGGCAATCCTAGTGGCATCTGATGAAAATGATTCCAAATAGGAAGCCAAGTTGGGACCCCGCGCTTTTTATAATCCCTCGGCTGGCCCTTAGAAACTGGCAGAGGGCGTACTTTATTCTGTTCATGCACTGCACGCATGCATGCTTCAGAGGACATTGCCCATTGTGTGTGTGTACAAAACGCGCGGCCGAACAATGCCGGCGCGCTGCATTTCAGGAGGGTCATGCGAAGCTGTATTACTGTGCATTTTGTCAGAAACTGAGTATGGAGAACTTTTTTTCTAATCCAAGAATACCATTTTTCTTATTAAATAACCCACTCGAAATTGGTAACCTGTTTTTGCGTGTTGTCTTTGTTTTTTGTTTTGTTTTTTGTGCATTTTTCCCATTTCCAATTCTCTGCCACGCACACATCAACCATTATTCTTTCCAAATTTATCCATTCCAGGGGCAGAATTCACTTTTTCTTCGAAATCCGACGGCCAGTGACGGACACTGAATAACCTCAACCGGCAGTTTTGAAATCTCCGTTTGAAAGTGCACGCAACAAAATTCGCAACTCTTGTTATTTACCCTCCTGAAAATGCGGGCTGGACGCGTTTTGGACGCGGTGTCCTATCCAGTCTATATCAAGTCAATGCTTAACTGCTTTATACTATAGCAGAGGCTTGATCCCGTGAGGGTGGCCATCTAGTTCACGAGAAAGGTCACTCTTGTGCGGTGCATGCATTGCAACAGCCCCCATCGGTAGTATGTCGAATGCTTGCACATACATGTACTGTTACCGTGGTTTTCCGTTATGCACGCGAGGAGGCTTTCCACCCGGCCTACCGTGGTTACGTCACCGATGTATTGTTTCAGACTTTCGGGGGATCCAAGTTTTTCTGAGCTATCCAATCGAAAGTGGCATAGGGTACGTACGAGCATATGCATTGGTCATTGGAGGCGGCAGCCAATCATGCTGCCCAAGTTTTTCTTATTAGCGGGAGCACGTTGAAAATAAATTAGCCACTTTGTCACAGCTTTGTCTTTAAACTTTATAATGGAAATCGGGGTCAAGCCCCATTGAAAACGTGTAAAATAAGCATTGTTCGGGGACCTATAACGTGCGTACCAACATCCCTGAGGTATCCGAAAACCAAACGCACGTTAAATTATTGTATGGTTCCTAATTAATCTTTTACTCTCAATTTTTGTGGGCTCATCGATACCAAAAACAAAATTACCCTCCGAAAATTTATTTTTCCGGAGTCTGCTTGCAGCCATTTTCCAAGTGACAACTCTAACTTGAAACTTTCTCGGCACTGACTTAGGGCCATATAGTTTCAATGTTTCAACCGTATTTTTTAGCCATTCTGCTCTCATACAGATGAAAGCCGAGAGACTCAGGGAGTTAATTACACAATCTCACCATTTTGGGGTCGTACAATCTCTTTTTTCGAAAGATACTAGGGGGTACTTTTATAGTACTATTGAGCTGGCCGAAAATTGGACTGCACCCATCAATGCTTTAATTCCGCTGCATACAATTGGTCTTTGTCCTTAGATGGTATTGTTGGAATGTTTGTACAATGCGCATGCAGACAAACCACCAATAGAGGGCTTTCGCGAACACCGGTTATTTACATACAATAACACGGCCAGCTGATCGGGACACTGTATACGCGAGAAGCCGTTGCTCAATTTCCTTGAAATTTGCAACACGTATTTCAGCCAGGGCTTAGAGCAGTTCACCGGGTGGAGTGAAGAAGGTGGGTAGACATGGTAGACTTAGTTGCATTACAAATTGATAAATAAGCCTCGGTGCAGAACTCTTGAAGTTATCTCCAGGTAATGTCTAATGAGGGCATGGAGGGGTGACCTTTACTATTTTAGCCACGTACATGTACATGTACATGTTTGATGCATGTTTCCTTCTTCCACTTAGTTCTGCTTATTGTTCAGGGTCGTACACTGGAACGTCAGTGAGCTTTTGTGATATGATGGAACGAGACACCTGATGGATGATTTTTGTTAGTCAGTGATCTCAAGTAATCAAATATAGTAGCCTTTTTCGACCAGTGAAAACTCTTCTCTTCCTGTAAAAGAACTCAAAATATTCTTGCAACCCCATAATAGGGTGGTACCACTACCAGGTGATTTTGGGGGTCGGATTGAAATCGTAGAATACAGTCTGGTTCTTTGAATTTAACATTTTCAAATAAATACACTAAGTTGGGGAATACGACTGAAATTGCAGAGGATGCCATTCTTCCACTTAGTTCTGCTTATTGTTCAGGGACGTACACTGGGACGCCAGTGAACTTTTGTGATATGATGGAATTGAGACATCTGATGGATGATATTTGTCAGTCAGTGATCTCAAGTAATCAAATACAGTAGTCTTTTTCGAGGAGTGAAAATTCTTCTCTTCCTGTAAAAGAACTCAAAATATTCTTGCAACCCCATAATCACCTGGTACATGTACATGTACCAGGTTGTTTTGGGGGTCGGATTGAAATCGTAGAATACAGTCTGGTTCTTTGAATTTAATATTTTCAAATAAATACACTACATTGGGGAATACGACTGAAATTGCGGAGGATGCGAATACGGTCTGTTGCAGAATACCCTGCCAGAAGTCATACGTGTAACCAGGAACTGGTCAAAGTGTCTCACTCTTCTCGAGGGATTTTCACCTTGTACCCACATAACCAACCATTCCAGGGGTCTTTTTTTTTTGTTTTAGAGTGGCAAGGTATTCTGCAATTACTCCAAAGGTTTTTCGAAAGCCAGATTCACAAACTTAAAATCTGGTTTGCTGTGATTTCATTCCGTCACAGCAATTTATTGCATAACCGAAAGTCCACTTGATATTCCAATTGTGTAGAATTTAGCAGGGTTCAATGGTGTAGATAAAAATCAGTTTATGATACTTGTATGTCAAGGATTGATACTGGCTTCTAGTAATAACAATGTTGCATAAATGGCTCAGTATCACTTTAAAAACTCTTCTACTTTTGGCTTTATTATGTGTGTCATTTACTTGTATCAGTTGCAAATACATGTACATGTATATGCCGGGTACACCGGTATCTTCGAAAAAAACCTAAAGAGAAATTTCTCAGTGGTTTACATTGCATTCTATGTTGGCAACACACAGTGCGGCATCTCCATGTAAGAGTACAGGCACTGACCGCACATGTACTTATCGAACACTGGCTACAGCTTTCCACCACTGCCTCTTTTGATCAAAATTCAAAGTCATAGGAGACAGGACCAGATTTTGGCTATCCCTGTCATGCGCCGCCCCATACAATCCCATGTATAAACTAAATTGATACACAAGCAGTGCTGGGTGAACATACGGTACATGTGCAAGTACGTGTAGCCTAAGCTACTTCAATTTCAGCATGTTAACCTGTTAACATAGACCTACTACATTTCATGATCGACCTTATGGACCGGACTGTATGCTTTGTGGTGTACAACAGTGATGTTAAGTTGATGCAGTATAAATGCTGTTACACTGGAATTTTCAGCTGTGACAATGCATTAGTTCATCTGTACAGCAATAGCTCTATGGTTCATCCCAACTCTATTTTTCGTATGGGAGCTTGGCATTTGCATGTAAGGCCTATACATCACAGTCACAGTTGTATGCAACACATTTATGCCTGAGACTGGTCTGAAAATCTAAGTGTTTTCTTTATGACCCGTTTTTTTTCCTCCTAAATCAAACTTTTCTAGACATGTATGTTTCTGCTTTCTGAAGCCTAAAAGGTCACTTTTTGGGAATACTTACTGGCATCTGTGGAACTCTTCCTTGCCTGAGCTATAAGGCCAGCAGCGTATCCAACTGTTGGTGGGGGGGATTATTCAACATGATGTTGAGGGAGAAAAAAATCTAAAGCTCATTCACTGTCCAGACATCCTTGCTTTTGTTTGCTGGTGTCGTTATCTTAGGGTTTTCGCGCTAATATTTGATATTAAATATACATGTAAGCCTACCAACATTCTTTCCTCTTCATCTACAGGTACATGTATCTGTATGAAGTAAAACAAAAAAAGTCGGGGGGCATCCCCCCCCCCCAAGCTGAATACGCCACTGGCTAACTAAGACTTATCCCCAGAATTGTGGGGCCCGATGTCCACCCCACTCCCACGACTTTGGACTCTGCAGTTTTTGGGATAGACTAAACCAATCACAGACTGTTTCATCTTTACTGTTAGTACATTTACTTGTAGACAATTCATGATCTCCCAATGGCGGACTCAGTTGCTAGGGATGGTCTGCATGTACTGTCAGAAGTGTGTAAACCTTACAGTTCTTTAAGTACATACATAGTCATGAAACTTACCGGTACAAAGGTACATGTATGTGATTTTTGTTGGGTGGGATCAGTCAGTCTTGATCTTATTCCATGATTTTTCGATAATATTGCATATGTGGCTTTTTATTCAAAGTTGTGGGATATGGTTTTAAGAAAGGGAGGTTAACTTGGAGATTTCATGCAGGATCGACCAATCGCACCGAGTGATCGGGAATGCTGCAAATTGGCTAATCACACCCAACATCAACATGGTTGAAAGTACACGTACATGTACAATGTACATTCATGCACCGGTCTGTACACCATACTCTGAACATATTGCACATGTATGAATGTACATAGCCAATATGAGATTCAGTACTTAAGTGGAGTTCAAGTTTTATATTAGGCATGATATGAGGTGTTATTCCATCATCTAATCTGCTTTTTCTTTTTTACTAGCTACAGGTCACTACTACCTACATGCAGGTACGCAGTTCAGAGAGGCGGACGGTACAAGACAGAATGAAAATGCTGGCTCTGCTCACAGTAATCGGCACATTTTGTGTCACACAAGGTGAGAAGTACCTGTAGGGCTTCTCTTACATTAAGTGGCCTTTCCGGTACAATTGTATTTGCAACAGGCATAGATTCAAACCTACACGTACACGCAGCTCCAGACTCAGGATTCAACTTTGTAGATGTAGCCCTATTGTAACAGAAGATCACTTAAATTTTCTGCAACCTTGTTCAGGCTTTCCTCACACAAAAAGTCCTTGACCCCAAATTTCAACAATTAGACATGTACAGTGTACCAACTTACCACTTCGGAGTTATCTAAGAGACAAATATCACTGAAATTTTTGCTCTCCATAGTTGGAAGGATAGTGTGCGCTTAAGAAATAAAGGTTTCTGTGTATTTTTTTATTTGACATTGAAAAGCAGTGGTGTGAAAGGTTATTGCAGTGTGTTCATGGTGAGTAAAAATCCCTGCACTTAACATGGCTCAGAAATAACGTTGAAAGAGAATGCTGTGTAAGTTTATTGGGCAGAAAATAAAAGACAAGAGAAGTCAGTGGATCCCCTGCTACCTCTGGGGTTAGTGTTTAAGCCTGGCAGCGCTACAGGTGTCAACTTTCACCCATATTTTTTCAGAAAGTCTGCTCTGTCATGCAGCACTCTTGAAAGCGGAGGTTGAAGGTCTCCTGCTTTACAGGGATGTACTTTTTGTAGGATATTTCCAGATTGTCATAATTTTGTTTCCCCAAATCATTCAATTTTAGAGATTGAAACTCTCTGCTTTTTCCACATTTTTGTACACCTCTGACAAAACCTGAGTGCAAGATGGACATTTAAATCAAATCAATGTGGGAGAGGAAGCTTGTGGACTATATATTCTGAAAAAGTCGTAAAAAATAACAGCATTTTTACGTGTCAATGTGTTTTACAAGCATTCTGCTCGGTGTGTCATGAAATTTCTCTAAACCTCTTCCCTTCCCCTTTTTGGTTAAACACTAGCTTTTCAGCCTGAGCAAAATCTCAGTGTTTCATTCCCTGAGCCCAAGCTACATGTACTTCTCACGGCTAAGCACACGTGGCACTTCAGCCCCACGAGGCCCAGGACATGCTTAGGTTATCAGTTATCACCATGACTTCATGACACAATTCTGTGGACTTCACTCTTTGCCCCACTGATTGTCAGTACAAGTAAATTGCATATAGGCAAATTAACAAAGAACATCGCATGGGTCCAGGGTGATGGAGTAGCCCTCCTTAATCTGGGGGTTAAGGTTGAGCTTATTTGACTTTCCGATTAAAAACAATTCCCAGGTAATACCTGAGATCTCTAGCACATGTACCTGTGCTAAACTGCAGAATAGGAGGTTAATTTACATGTATCTTGCTTGTGTAATGCCTCTGCAAATTTGCAGCTTAAACTTTGTTTTAGATTTATATTACCCATGAATGGACCCTTTTATGCACTGCTGTGCTTGGATATAAGCTTAAGATTCAAAGTGCAGTGTTTTTACAAATTAAGTTTTTCATATATACCCCATCCAGAGGAGTGTAACTTTTAAGGAATCGATTGCTGATTATCACTGGCAGTGGTCCATTCCACTTCCCTTCCCCCAGCCTTTTTTTACATGAGGTCGTCCTATCTCATTTTATAGGCTGAATATCTGGAAAAATGATATTTAACTGAAACCACCCCAAGAAACATGCATGTCAGAAATTTCTCTTAGTGTTCTTTAAGTAATATTGTGGAAAGACATCTGCAGAAAGGTCAAGAATTAATTTTGTTAACGACGTTTCCATTTGGTGTTATCATTCTCAGGTCTCCTTCTTCATGCATGTTTATTTGCATGTTATTAGTACTTGAGGAATGAGACTATTTCACGTGAAGAAAATTTACGTGTACCTACTTGTGCCTGCAGTCGATGGGTTCTCAATTTTGCCAGTCTAATGTGTATTTCTTCCGAGCAGAAGTTTTACAGTAGACTTCAGAATCTCTCTTAACATGCCTGATGACAAATTATTCCTTTGACTTTGGTTCCTTAGAATGATAATCCACTAAACCTACGTGTATTCTGCTTTCCTGTTTTTATTCAAGTTTTTAACCTAAAGAATGCCTAATAGAAAGTAGGTTTGCAGTAGCACCATGGACATATCTCTTGAGCGAGTATTTGCGGTTCTGAAAAGAACCAGTGGTACTCG